ATGGGGAGTCTTGTAAAAGAGAAACCATGACAGTAGCCTGCTGAAAATGTTTTATAAACTTACGTAAAAGTGGTTATCAAAGACAAAAGTGTACTCAAGGTAGTATACATCATAAAAATGCAAATTACAGTACTTTTCAGTCTAAAAACATTAACAGGCCCGAATCCAACAGAGTGAAGATTGAGGCTCGGTTCACACTGGTGCAACTCCAAAGTCACGCAATTTACAATGCAACTTTGCAGTGCAATATTGTAGTGTGACTTTATGCAACTTTCATGAGACTTTTACACTCAGGTTACAATAAAGTCACATCAAAGTAGTGCAGGAATCTTTTTCAAAGGCGCTGTGACCTTAGTTGCATCAATTGTAATGGGTGCCATTGAAATAAATGGGTTTTGCACTTGTCAAATGATAAGTCACACTACTTTGAACCTAGCCTGAAGCAACAATGGTGACCACATACATGTCTTGTAGCAGATAGTGATATTAAGATAGCTTTTTGGTCATCCATTCAGCATTAGGTAGATGTTTTATGATAAATGTGTGTCTGTTTACCACTGTGAAAGATCAATGCTCTGGAGCATGGACATTTGCTGGGGGAATCGATTAAGGCCCAGATATCATACCTTTGTCAGAACTGTCCAAAGTAATTAACAGAGACTGCCAATGCTGCACTCCTTTTGAAAAAGTTTTACTTTTGTTATTCTGATGCTTTGGCAGCAATGCTGTTTAATTGTTGATCAGTAGGAAATGTAATACTAACTTAAAGGGCAAAACAATGGCAACACCTATACTTCTCCCATAAAAAAGTCATTTGGGTCAGTCTGGCCTGTTAGGGTCACAGGTGTAGGCTTTTTCATAAAGTCTGGTAGATTTATTTCTAAACAATTCCGCACTGATGAAATCTATATATATATATCACATATATAACAGTCTCTATAATTTGGGTAGTTCAACATTGATTATAAAAAAAAAAATGTACAGAATTTGAAGATTTCTTACTTACTTACTAAAATTATAATAATCATAGGCAGAGTGGTGTAATGTTTTCTGAAAGCTATGTACTCCACCTGCCATAACCTTCCTACATTGCAAAGAGAATCAAAAAGACCCAACAATGACATCATTGCATCAAACATAAGGCATGTTTATAGAGATTTTGTGGACAAGATTATCATAAGCACTTTGTGGCAAATTGATGAGTAGACCCTGCCCATTCTAGACAGTTAAAATGGATATCCAAGTGAACCTAAATACATTTGTTATTCACTTTTTGAAAATAGTAAGGGATAATTTAAAAAAAATGTATTTTGTTGTAATTTTGCTAGGCTTTTAAAATCTTCTGTATGTCTCATTTGGGAGATTTGCGCTAATTTCCTCCCCTGTAGACTTAACAGGAAGTGAGAGGATATTGTTGCAGTGCAAGGAAATTCCCTATTAGACAACTGTCACCAGAGCAAGTGTTTGCAACGGAAGATTTTCTCTCTATTGCTGTTCTGATGTAAATCCAAATTTTTTATTTCCCATCATTTTCATCCATGATGACATTGGTGATCAGGACAATTAGAGAGCAAATCTCCAAAGCAGGGACACAGGCAGCAATCTTAAACCTCATTAAACTATTCAGATATAATTGCAAAATATATCTGTTTAGGTATACTTTCACTCTTGTTGCACACACCCAAAAGTCTATTAGGTGATCTTCAAACAAGTGACACTAAAGCAATGCAAAGTGTGAACTAAACAAAAAGAAAGTTTATTGCCAAACTTGTTAAGCAGCATTCACATTCAGTTATCATCTTTCTATCTCTTTTAGGCAATTAAGTACCAAAATAGCAATCCCACAGCTATCCCATTTAACCACTTGAAGACCAGACTGTTTCACTCCTTCCCAGTCCAGGTGTCAGGACCTGGTTTACCTGCTGGTAACACTAAGGTTCCTAGAGTGAAAGGGTGTAGTTCTGATGGCCACCAGCAGGTGTCACTCAGTACCTATCTGATCACATTAGTTTTCATCTGATGCTGGCTGCTGGGAAAGTACTGTATTTAGTCCCTCCTCTACTATTCCCTCTTGCTTCAGTGTTTTGCCTGCTTGCTGATTTATCCTGATCCTAGATCCTTCTTCTACCCTGCCCGCTATCTGTGTTCTTGATCTCCATCCTGGTTTCCCCTACCTGACTATTCCCTGCACCTCCAGTTTTTACCCTGTTAAGTTCTTATATTGTATAATAGATTAGTTTGCTAGTTAGGTTTTCTGTCACTTGGTTAGTTAGGTTGCTAGTTAGGTTTTTTGGTTTTTGGTTCACTTGGTTTATGGTTCACTTATAACTTCATGAATTCTATGTATTCTGTTTACTGTTATTGCAATAGGTTATATTTCACTAATAATAAACTTAATTTAGTCAAACACAGTCTGGTTTCTGGTTATGCTGGATGAAAGATTACATTTGCATATCTGTGGCTTTTTAAATTGTAATTAGTGTCTGTGTATAAATAGTCAATGCGTTTATTAGATCTCATGTGGATACACTGAACAGGTTAGATACGGAGCCAAGGGGAGCAGAAAAGAACTGTCAATAGACCTGCATAACAAGATAATGGAACTTCATAAAGATGGAAAAGGATATAAAAAAATATCCAAAGCCTTGAATATGCCAGTTAGTACTGTCCAATCACCTATTAAGAAGTGCAAAATTCAGAGATCTCTTGATTCCAAGCCAAGGTCAGGTAGAGCAAGAAATATTGCAGCCACACTTGCCAGAAGAATTGTTTGGGATACAAAGATACAAAGAAAGCCCACTGGTAACCACAGGAGAAATACAGGCTGCTTTGGAAAAAGACGGTGTGGTTGTTTCAAGGAGCACAATGATGATAATTGAACACAAATGAGCTGCTTGGTCAAGTTGCCAGAAAAAAAAAGCCTTTACTGTGTCACTTCCACAAAAAGTTACAATATGCCCAACACCTTGACATGCCTCACAACTTTTAGCACACTGTAATTTGAAGTGGAGAGACCATAATAGAGCTTTATGTTTGGAGAGGGGCACATCAGTCGATCAGCGAGAGGAGATCGTGACAACTTCCTCTTCTGTCGTGAAGCTTATTGGATCCATAACCTCGACACAACACAACCGAGGGGACTTAATATTAACACATCATATTTGTGCTCTTTGGATAGCAGATGAACCTTGGTTAGGATGATTCCTCATGACTGAAGTGTATATAGTTTTGTAGATAACTTTTGGCTTAGAGTTTTCACATTCACACTATTCACAGAGGTCTCTCTCTTTCTCTCTGGAAGCAGGTAAGCTGTGCCACCCCTACACATTCCTTTTTTATCCATTTCCAGACTCTTCCATTTTATTTCACTCCCTTTTCTTCCACTTCTTCCCAGTTCCATTCACGGACCGATCATCAGTCTCAGGGCCGGTTTGCACTATGTAGACGTAGTCCAGATGCGTTCCAGATGCAGTTTTGTCTGTGCATTTTGACACATTTTGGGCACATTCTGGTGCGTTTGTGATGCATTTTTCATGCGTTCTGATGCATTTTTAATGCATTCTAGTTTGTTTTATCCCCTCTCTTTTTCTTCAATTTAGATGGGGACATGTGTGTTACGGTGCATTTGTTGCCCCTTTTTGTGCACTCCGATGCGTTTTGATGCGTTTTGCCACGTTCCAGTGCAGTTCTGTACAGAGGAGATGTGCCGTGTTCTGCTTTTTATCTGTGGCTGGAATGCACTGGAACAGCGAGCCCTGATGTGAACTGTGACATTGACAACCATGTAGCCTACTTTCTCTTTGGATGCAGATGAGTTTACATGTTCTCCCTGTGCCTGAGTGGGTTTCCTCCAGGTACTCCGGTTTCCTCCCACACTCCAAAGACATGCTGGTAGGTTAATTGGATCCTGTCTAAATTGTCCCTAGTATGTGTACATATGAATGTGAGTTAGGGACCTTGGATTGAACGCCCCTTGAGGGTTAGGGACTGATGTGAATGTACAATATATAATATATATATATATATATATAGCACTGTGTAAATTGACGGCGCTAAATAAGCACCTGAAATAAATAAATAATAAATAATAGATGAAAAGTAATTGAAATGCATGTGGTGTGAACTGGCCCTCAATCTGCTTCCTTTCTGTTCTTTTTTTCATCACAGTTCATCTCTACAACAACCTGCCTGTCCATTGGCTTGTGTGGCGCCGGCGCCATGTGTTTCCATGATGCTGGCGACCTGCCTCCGCCTTGTCCTGCCCAGCCATATATGCATGGGGACAAATTCGGGATTGAAGGTGATGCCAAAAATTCGTCTTCAACAAGTCATATGCTGTAATTAGTGCACTACCATGCACCTCCAAACCTCAGTCTTGCTTGGGTTTTCTAATATAAATCTGTAACTTGTAACAAATTTTTGTTTTTTACTTTATACAGCAGCTATTCATTACTTTTAGTCACTTGAAGGTCACCCAATATTCTATTTGATCATTGAATTTAACATTCAAATGTGTCACATCCTAGTGAAAATCCTTTGGCAATTACCGTATTTTTCGCTCCATAAGACGCACTTTTTTCCCCCCAAAAAAGGGGGGGAAAATGTCAGTGCGTCTTATGGAGCGAATGTAAAGCGGCCGGTCCGGTATTTTTGCGGCCACCATGTCAGAATACCGGGCCGGCCGCTCAGCTGTTCTCTCCTGCAGGGCCTTACCTGTTCCTCGCTCCAGCGCTGCACAGTCTTCCCGCGCTGGCTTCTGTGACAGCCGGGTGCCCACTGCGCATGTGCTACGCTTTGTGAATGATCCGGTGTCTTCTGGGACACATGAAAGGTCCCAGAAGGCGCCGGGCCATTCACAAAGCGCAGCGCTTCTCGCACATGCGCAGTGGGCACCCGGCTGTCACAGAAGCCGGCCCGGGAAGAAGAGGGAAGGCAACTCCGTGGAAGTGGGAGCGAGTACCTGTCAAATTCAGGTACCCGCTCCCCCTCCCTCCCCAAAGGTCAGCAGTCTCTGGTCATTCCCTTCACTGTCCAGTCCTGGTCATTCCCTTCAAGTCTCGGTCCCCTGCAGCAGTCTCTGGTCATTCCTGCACTGTCTGCAGTCTCTGGTCATCCCTGCACTGTCTGCAGTCTCTGGTCATTCCTGCACTGTCCGCAGTCTCTGGTCATTCCCTGCACTGTCCGCAGTCTCTGGTCATTCCCTGCACTGTCCGCAGTCTTTGGTCATCCCTGCACTGTCCGCAGTCTCTGGTCATTCCCTGCACTGTCCGCAGTCTCTGGTCATTCCCTGCACTGTCCGCAGTCTCCGGTCATCTCCTGCACTGTCCGCAGTCTCTGGTCATTCCCTGTACTGTCCGCAGTCTCTGGTCATCCCTGCACTGTGTGTCTCTGGTCATCTCCTGCACTGTGTCTCAGTCTCTGGTCATCTCCTGCACTGTGTCCGCAGTCTCTGGTCAGCTCCTGCACTGTGTCCACAGTCTCTGGTCAGCTCCTGCACTGTGTCCGCAGTCTCTGGTCATCTCCTGTACTGTGTCCGCAGTCTCTGGTCAGCTCCTGCACTGTGTTCGCAGTCTCTGGTCATCTCCTGTACTGTGTCTGCAGTCTCTGGTCATCTCCTGTACTGTGTCTGCAGTCCATTGGTTCAGAATATTTTTTTTTCTTGTTTTTCACCTCTAAAACCTAGGTGCGTCTTATGGTCAGGTGCGTCTTATGGAGCGAAAAATACGGTAGTCAGAATTATTGCTTTTGTGATGACATTTTAAATGTTGCACGGAATAAAATATCAAAGTCTGCATTCTTTGTCCAGCCCAGAATAATTAATTACTGATTTAGAAAATTCTTTGGGAATTTTAATTGCATCAATATCAGCTGTTATACCTTAAACAAATCTGTTTTTTTTCTCTGTTGCATTTGATCAGATTTTCAAATGCTGTTGGGCTATTGTCAGAATTTATAGGAGATAACCCTGGCTCCAAGGTTGTAGTTGTTCAGTTTGAGTCCTTTTCTGCTGCATCAATGTCCTTCTGCCCAGGTTTAGTAGGCTTCATTTGTTTGCAGTTTCTTTTAGACAATAATAGCTTATTGGAACATTTATCTCCAACATTTTTTAGCCAAGGAAAATACATTTAACATAATGAAAATGCTGGCAGTTAGCAGCTGATACACATTTATTTCCTTTATTATGAGTAACTGCAATAAATTCTTAACTAAGGAAAGTAAATGTTACCATGTAAGCACTTTATGCTAATTAAACCAGCATCAGCCTGTTAAGGTAATGTTGTTCTCTGTGAATTGGAATACTGCGGTCATGCTCACCTCTACTTTCAGGAGGCTTACTGTGTAGAGTACTGTTTTTGTAGTTTAACAGTGGAAGATATTTTATAACAGCAGAGGAACAAAGCCTTAGTCAATACAAATAGCTTGTGACTTTCTACTATGGTAAGAATTGTTGCTAAAAAGTACAATTTGTTCCATTTGAAGCAGGTCAGATACAGGTTGGGAGAAAGTCAACTGTTCCTCTAATGAACTCTGAAAGAGTGCAGAAGAGTCTCAAACTGATGTCAAATGGATGACACCGACATAAACCCAAAAATTATTTACTAGTCACCATTTGTTCTGTATATATGTATATTTTTTTGTCAGACTAATCTGATTTATTTTACTATACCACACATATTTTGGACCAGGTTGGTGATGTGGACATAGCCTAACTTGATTTCACCAAAGTATTTGATACAGTTCCATGTAATGATCCAATGAAAACGTTTTACAAGCTAGGACTTAACCCTTGGGTGGTTCATTGTACTGCATATGTAGACGGCTGAAGGATAGATACCAAAGTGTGGTTGTAAATTAATAGAGCCCAGTCACTAGTGGTGTAACAGAAGGCCTTATACTATATCCTGTTCTATTTAATCTATCTGTATGTGATATAACTAAAGGATTAGTGGATAAGGTATGTCTTTTTGCTGATAACACAAACATGTACAATAAGGTGTCTGTAACATGGAACATGATTTGGCACTGCTAGAAATTTGTTCAAAGCAGTAGAAACCGCAGTTCAATGTATCTAAGGCAGGCCAAAGTTTATAAAAAAAATTTCTGCAACCAGGGGTATGTTGATTGGGAAATCCCCCATGTGGAGCTATTGTGTTCTACTGAGGTGTAGTCCTTACACAATGAACACAATGATTATTGCTAGAGGCTATAGCCATGGGCAATAATAGCATTCTAAAAATTTGACATGCTGGTTGTACCCAAACCGATTGATGGATTAACTTGCGCACAATCAGCCTGCCCATAGATGGATCAAATCTCGAGTGGTCCCTGCAGAACCAGCCGAGATTTGATCTAACTATGGCTGGCTTAAACATAAAATAATGTATCTAGGGAAAAATAATCCCTTGATAGAGTATAATATTGGTGGTACAGTGTTGGTCAGAACTACAGAAGAGTATATGAATATGTTGCTGTACTTTTTTTAGATGATTGCAAAATGAGCAAACAGTGTGGCCATGCAGTGGGAATAGCAAATTTAATTTTAGGGTTGATCACTAGAGGGGTCATCAGCAGGAGGAGGAAGGTCCTGATTCCTCTATGTACTGTACATCTTTACTTAGACCTCCTTTAGAATGCTGTGTCCAGTTCTGGAGACTTCACTTATAAAAAGATAATAATAAGACAGAACAATTCCAGAGATGTAAAGACACAATGGTGAAAGGTTTTGGGTATAAAATGTATCAGGAACTTAATATGTGCAGTCTGGATAAAGAAGGGAAAGAGGAGACATAACTGAAACCTTTAAATACATCAAGGGGGTGCATTAGGTTCAAGAGGGCAGTATTTTCAATATGAAGAAAAAATCAAGAACAAGGGGACATGACCTCAAACTAGCAGGAGAAAGTTTAAAACTAATTTTAGAAATTATGATTTATCGAAATCATAGTTGATGTTTGGAATAGACTTCTAACAGAGGTAGTAAGTCACACAACAGTAAGAGGATTCAAAAATTTTTGGTACAAACACAGATCTATTCTCAGACAAAAAAAAAGTAAACAAATAAATAAATAAAACAAGGCAGACTTGACAGACCACTTGATCTTTTTTTTCTGCCATCACTCATTTATGTTTCAATTTTTTAAAGCGGTTTGAAAACCCGACCCAAAAATGTAATATATTGCAGCTTACCAATCATTAGATGTATTGGTTGTATTAGTATTCTTTTTTGGGTCTTTTCCCCTCTGTCTTCCCCTGGTTATCTGGCTAGTAACACATCTCCTGTATTTTACAGACACCACTCTGGATGAATGAGCACAGGTGGCATATTTGAACAGCAGCATTGTAAGTCTGGGGGGAGTGTTAAAAGCGCTAACAGATTAAATGCAATAACAAATTGAATCTTAAATCTAGCTACTTTAGAATTAGTTACAGCAAACAGTTTTTTTTCCTTTTGGGAAAAAGATTTTACATAAATACAGTACATGAAAGCTGATCATTTTAAGCACCCCTGTCTTTGTTAAATAGTTTGTCTCATCCCTGTAACTGTACAAGAGCTTTTCTGTTGAAAAACAACATACTTATTGGCTTGAACACCAGATAAAAAGAAAATAAAAGAACCTTAAAAGGAAACTAATACAGCCATCACATCTAAGAATTGCTAAGCTACAATATAATAAATGTTTGCTTATGGGATTAATACTGTTTTAAGCATCACAGTTTTCTTTCCTTTTTTTGATACTACAGACCTTACCATTAAGCTATTCCAGAGCCTTCTGACACAGGCCTTTATGGTTCCTTACCATACTATTATTTTACCACCATGTTTAGACATCATTTGATCATAAAACAATCAAGCAGATCAAAGCAACCAAATACCAAAAAGTTTTTATTTATTTACAGTTTGGATTGAAAAAGTTGGTGGTTGTTTGTTTTTATCTATTAGGTCATTTATGTGATTGAAAGCTGGTTGAATGTGGTTTAAATTGCTATAATAGTGACTTAGTGCAGCCAGCCTTAGGACTCATGCAGATGAGCAAGTGCTGTATTCATTTGCATATATTTTTCTTCCATTTGAGAAGTGTTTTAGATATTTTTAAATAAGTGTGGATAGGAAACAAATTCAGATTCTTCTCCACACCACTGGGATCTATTGGAGATGTGAATGGTAAATTTACCCATTAGGAAGAAATGCCTAGGAAGTGCTCAGTCAACATAAATGTGCACAGATAAGTAAATTGATAGGGAGTGAGTTCATGACCAACTTTGAACATTTTTTATAAACTATATACAGTACATGTAGATACTGTACTTCAACATTTTTATTATGTACAACTACAAGTTTGTGCAGTTTAAAAAAAAATTCTTATTAATGCTTAAAGTATTTAAAGCATTAGAAGAATATAGACATTGGATCCATTTGACTTTATTTCACTAAGTTGAAGTTTCCCAAAAAACATTATTTCGTAAATAAGAATTATCATCTTTTTAACAACTGCCATAAAGTCAACAACATTGAAAAACATATGTAAAGAAAAAAATAAACACTGGCAGATTTTTACTGAATGAGACTATAAAGGTAAAGAGTGGATTGTAGCATTTAAGCACAATGGTAGTATCTCAATTCAAGTGTTTATGCTGTGCATTGAAATAATAGATTGCAGTTCAAGGATCTTGTATTTAAACACAACAGAAGGGTTGGTTTTTGATGTGGAGAATCAGTGGGGACAGATGAGATGAGTATGCATACAAGGGGTTGTACTGAACCTCAACTCAAAAAAGTGAGATTTGTTTTTCTATAGGTAGCATTAAGATGTGTTAACTGTGCCTAAGCAGTTCCCTAAAAATGTACTTTTATACTTCTTGAATTCCTCCTCAAGCATTTTCTGTGCTTAGGTACTTTTGTGCCTTGAGCCTTAAAGTTGTTTGTCTGTGGTGTAAGATCCAGGATACTGTCACCTGTAATCACACAATATTTGGAGTGGGATTAAGTGATGTCAATACTATGCTGCTTACTGTGTTCTTTACAAGACAAAAAGATGCTGTTCAATGATCTCCATTCTCCTTCTTTAACCATAAAATAGATTTATGCCTTCATTACCTCTCCTGCTGTTTCCTCAATATTTCCTTGCCAGTTATAAAATCACTAGTCATCATGTATAAGGATACAAAGGAAACAGAGCATGGCGCCGGATTAATGTATGGTTGAAAGCAACACTTTAATTCCATTTCTCACTTACATCTGAAAGTCCTGTAGACTGCTCTTGGTGTCAGAGTGGTGGTGCGATATACAGCTCACCACAGTCTGGATGGACTGATAAGTCTGCAGGGCACAAGCAGGGATCCACTGCAAGATGGTAAATCGGCGACGTCTCTCCTCTCACTCACAGTACTAACAGAAAGGCAGATGGGAGAACATGACAGACTGTGGGGGGGGGGGGGGGGGGGTGAGCCTATAGTTCCAGAAAGGAAAACTTGATTCCAGGTAGGGTTAATGTGAAAGGGCACCACTCTCTGTGCCAAATAAATCAACAAAGATCTCTCGGAGTCAAAAGGTAACCAGATTCAATTGTGGTCTTTATTCCTTTGTCCAAAACACCAGCCAATGTTGTATTCCTTGT